AAAGCAGAGAGGGACCTCAGCAGGGTAAACCATGGAAACGATCTGTTGGGTGAGGGACAGTCTCGGAGGCAGATGTCTGCAAAAACTAGGAGTTAGACCTAAGAATGTATTTTTGTCCATGCTTACTCCTTTCCCTGAAGTGTACAAGGTGTCTGCTGGGGGCAGACTGAAGGGTTGCTGCTTTTCCAGTTTGCTGACCATCGTAGCACTGAGGTCTTTCTTGATACCCATGTCCCTGAAGCACACAGAGCTATCGCCTCTCACCGGCGGAGGTGGCCCAGCTAGGAGTCTGGAAAGGAGAAGACAGCAGTCCTGTTTCCCGGGAACTTCAAACTGTGGTTTGGGAAAGGCTTGGTGGAGCCCAGCGGCAGGTGTTCACAGGAATGACCTTGTGTGAGCAGCAGCTCAGCAGCATTTCAAGTGACGATACATGAAATTTGACTGAAAGGCACGTTGTTCTTCGAGGCGATGCTCGCCCGGCTCTGCGGTGTGACAGCCAGGGAGCAGGGCATCCAGAACCCGCAGGGAGCAAGAGGGCTCCGCACCCACAAAACCATGGGCTTCGTTCCTGGGATGCTTTTCACGAGCAGCGATTTTCGGTTGATTCTCATGAGGCTGCCATAGGGAGGCGTGTTGGAAAAGCCCCCCTGTGTGACTGGAGGGCTCTGGGCTGTGAGCAGCAGGCTGCTGAGTCTGTGTTTGAGTCTGAACGACACGGTGCGTGTACCCACTGCTCCTTGCTTTTGAGTCCTGATAAAAACAGCCTCGACTCCTAGTGTATGTTTTAATTTGTATAACATGCAAACGCGCTTCTCAGTCGTGACACCCCACCTAATGCTCTCTGGCAAAGTTTGTGGTAACGCTTTATCCCCCTGCTCAGCTGACCCCCTTTTTGGCAGGCCGGGCTCCAGAGGATCAGGCACAGAGGATTAAGTGATGAGAGATCTTTCATGAACTGTGTGGTCAGTGTTCACATCATGTAATTTTGGCACCTAAGGTGGAAGGCAAGTTTCCCCTGCTATGAGGCAGTCAGCAACTTTCGGAAGGACCTCGACAGGCTGGAGGAATGAGCCCACAGGAATCTCGTGGAAGCCCAAGTGTGGGTGATCAAACACTGGCACAGGTTGCTCAGGGAAGTTGCGGAGTCTCCATCCTTGGAGATGCTCAAAACCTCGCTGGATGTGGCCCTGGGCCTGAATCGTAGGTCTCAAACCAAAGTTGACTTCTGAGTGACTCTCCCAACCAGCATCATATCACCATGAAATATGACTTTGAGAATATCTGGTGATCATTAGTGAAATATGACAAGCATTAGTGAAAGATGTAGCTTAGATAAAACATAATCATTATGAGGATGAAATACCTGTTTAGGGGCAGACTGTCAAGGCCATGCAGACAGATGCTCGGCCTTGTCTGAGAGTACGTGTTCAAAGCCAAATAGACATGGACACCCCTTTGGGTTCCACCCTGGGCCCTGGCCAGGCCTTAGGTGAAATCCAATGGGGATGGGAACGCCAGATGTTTCCACACGTCTTTTACATAATCTGTTTGTTAAACTGTATAAGAGCGGGACCCTCTCACAGCGCAGTCGGAGCGTCACCTACGAGTGGACGCGCCGCGTAGGACTTCCCAGTTGTTGGGACAGGTTCTCCAACCCTTCGCTGTGACGGGGCGCCCCAGCTGACATACAGATCTGGATGATGGTAAAGTTTTAGGGCAATTGGTGATGTATCTGAATCACCGTCGTTAACTCTGTGTAGTAATGATAGGTGAATTACCTTGCTTATGCTGTCTGCCAGCTTAGGCTATCGTACATGAAGTTTCTCTTTTTAACTTGGTGCCCGCGTCCTTTCTGTCGACCCCGTCAACCGGCAAAAGCGGCCCTAAGCAACCTGCTCTGGCTGACCCTGATTTGAGCAGGGGGTTAGACCTGATGGCCTCTAGGAAAGGCCTTCCAACCTCAGCCATGCTGTGATGCCGTAAATCAAAGCAGGGGCCTAATCTAGGTACCGTGGGAGTAATTCAAAGTATTTCTCTCTTTGAATGTAAGAAAGCCTAAGGGGAGTGGCCTTCTAAGCTAGGCAGAGAGGCACAGTGGCTGCATAAAAATAGGCAGTGTGTTACCCTTCTGTATCCTTCATTAAAATTAGGTAAATTAAAATAAGTACCCAGGAACTCACCTGAGAATTACACAGCTCTTCTCTGATATAAAGGCTGGAGTTTCTGTCCATCATGCAGGGAGATCCAGTCTGCCTCTTTCTACAAGCCTGTCTTTCCCTCTACATTTTCTTTCCCATGTTTCCAATACAGTCGAGGATAGATGCTTCCAAGAGCCGACATCTCACCTGCTGAAATTTAAGTGACAAAGTAGGAATGTATTCGGAGGCTTTCATCTACCTCTCTCCATGGCCAATCATGAATGGCCGTAAAAACTTTCTGTAGCAGTTAGATGTACAGGTTAGGCTGGGCTACCCTGGCCCAGCAGTTTGAGTACAGAGCCATTGCTGACTTGTATAGCTCTAACAGCGGGGTATGGGTGTTGCTTTGAGGGATTTATGCCTTGGACAAACTCATGAATTTAAATCAGTGCAAAATCCAACCCCTTTTATGTTACATTATCTACATGAAAGGCACTGAGCAGAATTTGATTTAATTATGTGCCAGTGTGCTGGGTTCAGCCAGGA